AGTCATATACTCGTGCCTTGGACGAAGTCCGGCAACGAATAAATTCCACATAAAGTCTACCGAGATTCAGTTCCGGATGAGAACTGATGGACTTCCTTTCTCAGCTTGCTGACCTGTGTGTAGTTTATTGAGGGAATAAGGTCAACACTCATTTCCCAAGTGGTGAAAGCTACAATAGTACTGTGCCCAGAATTATACGTAGTCTGTTTATACCTACACTTAAGGGAAGTATATTGGGCTGGTATACCAATTTTCTCATCCATCTTGTCCTTGTCTGTCTCGGAAATCTTCAGTCGAATGTTCAGGCGAAAGTTTATCTGTGCCTTTTTGCATTCAAGATCTTTATTCGGAAGGACCCACTATTTTACTGATTGATCTTCTTGTTCCGTGGTGTACGATATCCAATTTGTGTTGGGTTTGATTCTTCTTGCCGAGTCTCTGATGCACGCGTACTATCTGTTGGTATGTGTTAATAACCACGGTGTTTCGTCTCCTTCAAGAACTTGTTCGATTAGTTGAAACCAATCAATTTTATTTGCCCTATTCAAAACAGGTAACAGTTTCCAAAGGCCAGTTCCCTTCTCTGAGTGATCATCGGCCATTTTATACAGCTGAAGTTAGCTGCATGAGTCGAAACTTGTGCGAGTAAATGCGAGTAGATGCGTAACCTTGCTTTATCAAATTCTATGACAAACCGGGCTCATAACCTATTAGAATATGATTCCTCTAGACGGGTAATACAGTAGTACTGGAAGTAGAATTGATAAAGTGTAGGGTTAACAGGACGTGTATATTAGTCTCCTCACCCAGCATCTTGAAATGCTGCGACTATGCTCCTACTAATATGTGTCTACGAGCGTCGCCTACGGAGGGCTAGACTGAACACCTGTACGCGGTGTCCTCTACGAACCTGGGAGTGAAATATTCTCCCAGAGCCAAGTTCAGTCAAATTTCGCAATATCAAAGAAGTTGGCCCACGAGGCAAAAATTCAAATTACTTCACCATGTCAATCTTTCACTCCCAAAGAGTCCGATTCTCATCTAAGCCTCATCAAGTCTACAAGTACGACCTAGTACATCCTCGTTTCAATGACCACACCTCTCGTCGACTTTCTCTGGCCTCAGCTGGTCACCAAAAACACGCCCACGCCGATATTTATACCCGACGGAGGAAGCAAAGCGTGGAGCACAAATCTGGGAGATAGCTCTTTGGGATGGACGTGAGAGGGATCAGGACAAGTTCACAAGATAATGCAGAAGAGGGATACGTTTTCGACGGGCGTGAAATTTCGGATTTTGGCAAGAGTTTTACGAATTGAGCTTTGTGCGCGCCAAAACTTTGCTTGCGAGAGTGCAGCTGACACTATAAAAACAAGCAAACGATGGAAAGTGTTGAGGTCCGCCTCCTGGTGGTGTTCTCTGGTATGGTTTGAGTAGCCTGGGCACCTACTCCACTTGGGAAGGAGACATCTCAGACCATATTTCGCGCGGAGAAAAGTTGATGGATGACGGAGGCATGTCTGGATAACTCAGGGTTTTTGAGACGTTCCCCTGGGTAGGTACTCACGGATGAGGGTTGACTTGGGGTGAAGAAAAAGCCACCATAACTTCGCAGTGGTACTTGCAAATGAAATCCGAGGCATGAGTGCTCCTCTTGTAAATTGAGTCATCTTTTCTGTACTTTTCTTTGATATTGTGTCATAGCTAGATAGCTGCATACGCAATTAAAATCTGATGCAAAAAAAAAAAAGGAGCGTCGCATACACGCTAATATGAAACTATTAATACAGGGTGTATAAGATCTCCAAACGCCTTACTCGTTTTTCTCTTAGGTAAACAATATTCACAACCATAACTCCCCGATGGAAATCTAATTGGAGCAGTAAAGACGCCAATACGTTGGCCGCCCGAAAACCCTAACAGTTAAGGAGCTCATACAATCTGCCTGTAGTAATATCAAGCCGCCCAAACGAGATTGAGAAGACATTCACGCCAATAATAGGAGATTAGATCTGGCAAACTGGGTGGAAATTTGTGGAGAAGACCAGTCAGAAAAACGGCAGAAAGAGGCAGGAAAGGTTGCAGCATACCAAGAATGGGCTAGATCCTGGAAAAATCAAAGGCAGCTCCAATTACCTCGACATAATGCAATCGCCGACCCCGAAACCTGGAGAGCAGTCAATTTCTATCAGAAGCAAAAGTCGGATCGATGGAAAATAAGTCTCCAGGAATCGCCATTCCTACTCCACCGAAACCTGACAAGGGCCCAAAGCAGTCTAGCGATTAAAATACGAAGTGAGCACATGGGGCTCAATTCGTATTTATATAGAAGAAAAGTACCTAGTGTCTACAGTCCAAGCTATTCATATATCTACCAATTGCAGAACCCTAAGCACATAATTATGTCCTGCCCTCGATGGTCAAATGGAAGAGGAGAGATCTGGAGACAAGCGAAAGATCGGTCCTACGAAGCAATGATGAACAATTCTGGAGACATCAAAAGGATAACACAGTGGATCCTAAATCATGGTTGGATAGAACAATTTCAAATGACAAAGGCGGTCGAAATGCTGCTGAGGGAAAGGAACAGGTCATGCTTTTCTTGAGGTCGATAAGGCTGATGTGGTTGGGTTATATGGAGGGCACTATAGTGTAACTGTGCTTCCTAAAAGATACATTAGAAAAACATAGAAATTAAACAGGAAGGCTTGGGGAGTTTGCACCAAAAGGTTTCCTCCCGTATAAATTAGAAAGTATATAGACACCTTCATGGGCCCATAGGGCGCCAAATCAGGATAATGAATTCAAATTCAAACCATAACTCCATTATGTTAAGGCACAGGGAAGATTGTGTTTGACCGACACTCTTATAGTTTAACACAACAAAAAAATAGAAAAATGCTAGCAATGGAAACTACGCGCGCGGAAAAAGGTCTTAATAATTCTGCAGCCTCAGCCAGGCAAGGCCTAGACATCGACACCTTTTTCCGCGCGCGCAGTTTCCATTGCTACCATTTTATTTTTTCTGGGTAGAAGGTTCCGTGGAAAAGGTGACCTAACTCCACAGGTAAAACCTGAGCTGAATGGCTATTCATCACGGGCAACATATCAATGGTCTTTCAAGTAATAAAAGAGGCAATGTTGCAGGCTAGCGCCTTTAGTTTTAACCGGAGTTTATCCGGTTCATTTATCGAGAAGTCTTAGAGTACAAAGGACTTGTTGGACTATTTTGGAAATGGGAGTAGAAGGTAACAAATCATCGAAGGGTCGTCCCTCTATTCTCTGGCTATTGAGTATCTAAAATACATAATTTTCCTCATATGAAACCCTACTAGATAACTCGCTGGCAATAATGCTACCACCGAAAAATACCAAACCGTGCTCTGGACAGATAAGATGAGAATATCATGGGAAACATAAATGTAAACCCAATTCAAAGTATGAGTTATGTAAAATCCGAACAAAAAGATATTTTCCTTGATACGCATCACGTATCAGCATTAACTTCTCCGACCCGAGTCATGTTATGAGTAAATTCAGGTAAACCTAAAATAACCGTAGCGCAACAGGACTTGTTCCTCACTATCTATAAGAAAATATTGGGAATTAAAATGGTTGAATTTATCGAAATTTTTTTGTCTCTTTCATTTAGAAGCTAGAAGTCCTCTATAGTCGTAGACTCATATAGGACTATAATAAAAATCTAATCTAATCTAATCTTAGAGTACATGTCTTGGCTGGATTACGGAGTTGTGTAAAGGATAACTCCTGCATAAATCCACACGCGACGCGCGGTATTGAGTAGATAAGCATGTAGTCTTCGTAGTACTTCTTTCTTCATATAGAATATAAATTAATTTACGACACACTTTCATGCGAATAGCTAATGTGATTAGTCCCTTCACAGGCGAGGAGCATTGTTCAAAGTGTGGCCTGGATCAGAAAGAAGCCCAATGTGCTAGATATCCAAAAACTCAGTAATTACAATAAAAACACTTCTCTCTCTCTCTTATTATTAGTTCTACTTCACACTGTAGCCATGAAAATTTGGGAGGTTCATTTAATGTCGGTTTTGAGATAATTCGTCTGGTGCATCTAACCCCGCTCAATTATTCTTGCACTAACTGTATACGATTTGCCACCCCACTATAGCTGATAGCGGAGCTTTAGTGCGATCTAGTGAGCTTGGCGGGAGCTTGCCGCATTTAGCTAAAATCAATCCGACAACTTGGCACTCAACAGATAAGCTTTAACTGAGACCATGGATCTGTAGATTGTAGATCTGAGGATTCCAGGTGCGTCTCTGGCTCGCTTAGCACATTTGGACAATATTGATGATAGACAGTAGTTCAAGTTACAGTTGATAATACTGAACTGGCGTAATAAGGAGACTGACTAAAAAATGGCAGGCATGATAACTTATCTAAAACTTCTAGTCTGTGCTCTCTTGCGATTATTCATGACGCTCAAATTGGTGACATTACACGAAAGCATTTAAAAATTATTTGTACCACATCTTCACAACAGGTTCTCATGAAAATATAGGCTAAACCCCAAAATTTAGAACTAAAAAGTATGCAACGTACGAAAATTCTCAAGTAGTATCACGTAAGTTTACTCCCCATAATTTTGATGGTGTTGTGTTGAGCCAAATCGTTGGCATCCAACTTCGCGCCGCCAAAACAAATACAACGGGTCACGTCTCACCATGAACAAAATCTCCCACTGTAACGCATGCCATTTAGTACTTCTTGCCACTCACCCATTTTCTCACATCGACCTACTGAATTAAAAATGGTACAGATTTATAGCCTCTAGATATCCGAACAGTTTGGACAGATAATCTCAGATCTGCCTTCACTCATCCTAATTGTCTCCCATTCATGTCACATCTCGGAGAGAGAACCCATTCTTCAATCCACATTTTAATTCTACGTCCTCTTTGAATTTGAAAAAGTTAACTAGAAAATACTAATTATTCAGCTCGATATATCGTAAAAATGGAGCCAAGCACACAACTACCCCATAATACAACAATTAACAATGATTCATCCTCCGCAACAAATCCCGGGCCTCAGAAAAAATATTTAGATCCGCGTACAGCATACCCTCATCTCGGTCTGAGTGGAAATGTGATTTCAGCTAACATTTGTATACCATATTCTCTTCAATATAGAAAAGAGTCTGAGTGGGTAGGTTGAATGCCTGCCTGTGAGCTGCTATCTCTAATAAGTACTTAGGAACTCGAGCCTCGGCGTGGTACATCTGCACTCTTCGATTCTTTTGCACATCTATCCTCTAGTCAAACTCCTTGGAATCATACCTTAGTCGGTTGGACAGGCGAAGTCACTACCGCAGATATTACCCCTCCACTCACCCCTCCGTCAACTACATCCGTATGCCGATATCCACCGCTCAACAAATCATCTGCTCCGATACCTATAGACGGATCGACTCACCAGCTAGATACAAGTCATTCAGAAGGTCTATGGATTAGTAAGGAAGATCAAGAACATTTAGAATGGCAGCTCAATTACAAAAACAAAAGTCAAATCTTGCCAGTCTGGCTAGATGATGAGACAGAATCTACATCAGAAAGAATTTGCCTGAAAGACCAAGCTAGATGGAGACGATATGCAGAACAAAGCTTATACACCCTTTTCCACTATAAACAGAACGAACCCACCGATGCACGGACTGAATGTCAGTCATGGACAGACTACAAATGCTTAAATGAGAAATTTGCATACCGAATTCTTGAGAAATATAAGCCCGGCGATATAGTAGTTATTCACAATTACCATCTTCTTCTCCTACCTAAGATACTCCGCAACAGCATACCACACATGTACATTGTCTTCTTCCTCCACATTCCATTTCCTAGTAGCGAGTTCCTTCGATGTTTGCCGCGGCGTAAGGAAGTATTAGAGGGAGTTCTAGGTGCCAATTTAGTTGGATTCCAAAATCTTAGCTACTCAAGACACTTTGTGTCATGCTGTACCAGAATTCTTGGGTTTCCCTCTGATGGGATGGGCGTCGAGGTTTCCGGCAGAAAAGTTACTGTTGGAGTCTTTCCCATAGGCATTGATGCTGGAGCAATAGAAAAAAGTGCTTTTAATGACCCCATAGTTGACAAAAAGGTAGAAGCACTTCGTGGTCTCTATGAAGGCAAAAAGATCATTGTGGGCCGCGATAGATTGGATACTGTTCGAGGTGTCGCTCAGAAACTTATGGCATTTGAAAGGTTTCTAAGCGACTATCCCCAATGGCAGGGGAATGTTGTGTTGATTCAAGTCACAAATCCCGTTATCACTGAAAAGGGACCTGAAAGTGCTGACAATAAAGTCGCCAATCAAGTATCAGAACTCGTTGCCAATATTAATGGGGTCTATGGATCTCTGTCTTTCTCCCCGGTTCAGTATTATCCACAATATCTTTCGCAACCAGATTACTTGGCTCTCCTCCGGGCAGCTGATATTGGGCTCATCACAAGTGTCCGAGATGGAATCAACACGACAAGTCTTGAATACATTGTGTGCCAACGAGATAAGCACAATCCTCTCATCCTTTCTGAATTCTCTGGCACTGCAGGTAGCCTGAAAGAGGCTATACATATAAATCCTTGGGATGTTTCAGGTGTCGGAAAACAAATCAATTCTGCCCTAACAATGAGTGCCCAAGAAAAAGCGACAATGCACAAATCACTCTATTCAAACGTTACGAGTCGTAATATCCAGGCCTGGACGGATGGCTATCTAAGTAGCCTCTTATCTGTTCTTAACGGCTCTAACTCGTCAACAACTACCCCCTTACTTGACAAAACAGTTTTAGTTAGACAATACCATAGTGCCTCAAAGCGCCTATTCATGTTTGATTATGATGGAACACTCACACCAATTGTTCGTGATCCAGCAGCAGCTCTACCTTCAAAGCGCTTGATTTGCATTCTCAAAACTTTGGCTGCAGATTCGGATAACTCAGTTTGGATTATAAGTGGACGTGATCAAGATTTTCTCCAAAAACACTTGGGGGATATTGAAGAGCTTGGATTTAGTGCTGAGCATGGAAGCTTCATTAGGCATCCTAGACGAAAGGAGTGGGAGAATCTGGCTGAAGTCTTTGATTTGGGATGGCAAAAGGTGGTGTTGCAGGTGTTGCAGAGATATACCGAACGAACTCCCGGTGGGTAACTTTATCCCTTTTGGCACCCACAAAATCCTGCGCTGGCAGCTTTTTCCCTAATTAATTCTCAACTGACATCGAGATGAAGGTTCTTTCATAGAGCGTAAACGCTGTGCCTTGACTTGGCATTATCGACCCTCTGATCCAGTTCTAGGTGCATACAACGCGGATGAGTGTCGCAAAGAGCTTGAAAAAACTGTCAGTTGTGAGTGGGACATCGAGGTAATGATGGGAAAGGCGAATCTTGAAGTACGACCAACCTTTATCAACAAAGGAGAAATCGCTAAGCGTCTCATATCGGAGTCAGTTCCAAAACCAGAATTTGTATTTTGTCTCGGTGATGATTCTACGGACGAAGATATGTTTCGCGCACTTGACTGTGCGGGCTTGACAGATAGTCATTACTTCACTGTTAAAGTTGGAGAGAGTAACAAGGTAACACGTGCTCACTGGAACTTACCTGAACCAGCGGATGTTGTGGCAAGCATCGCTCTACTATGTGGTAAAGACAACAAGCCTTGCAGTTCGGAAACTTCCTGAAAAAAGTCGCTTTAGTAGCATCATTATCACTGATATGATTGGGCGTTGACAGTAGCTGCAGCATCTAGAAGTGCACCATCACATGATCTTTGGCGGAAAACTTGCCGTCGTAATTAGGTAATTCATGAAATTGGGTGTATCTCGCTAACTCAATTGCATAAAGGCAGTGGGACAATCGGTCAGAATCACAGTAGAACAATAAGAGTTTAAACTGTATCTATGAGATTCATTAATTAGCTTCTACCATCAACATTGACTGATTGTTATCGCTCTGACCTTGTCAAGTTAAAATTTGCATGGGCTGGCTGAAAATTGGGCTAGAGGTATCAAAATGTAGGAAATTAACGCCTCCTTCATGAATTCGCGTTATTTTCGGCAAATTTGCGCCGAGACTCTTTATCTGTCAGGCCGGCACATTATATAGCGGAGAGATGTAAAGTTAAATTAAATAGGATTAGTATAATTGACTGAAATCCGATAGACTTCTTCACTAGTATCGGGCACGTAACGTACCATTCATATGCACTGCCGACTGGTATCCTATCCTACGGGCAATGGGCCCCCAAAGCAAAGCTCCCCTGTTTAACTAGCCAACAAACTCTCTCATGAAATATGACTAATATCGCGCATCCATAGTAGATTTTTATGTGAGACGGAAATCGAAGGATCTACCGTGTCTCGAGGAATATATTATTTTGGGTAGCCCCTTTATCAGGGCAGTAGAGGGAGCAAGGAAGATGCAAGAAATTTCAGCAGTGTCCCCACAAGCGTCGAGCTCTCACCGTTGCGCCTGTAGAGCCAAGATGGAGTCTCATGCTCGTGAGTTTACGGCACTAATTGGTACCCAAAATAGCACGAAAATTAGCCGGGGCTACTCTGCAATGCCCAGTCTCCTTCAATACTTGACACCCCTCACTATCTAGAAGAAAATTTTATGATCAAACCTAGAAAGTCTGGCAACTTTGTTTCAAGTGGATTCGTGGAGTCTTCAATTGCCATCGACCCAGATAGGACTACAATATAAATTCAATCTAATCCAACACTTAGAGAGACACTGGTCTACAGCACCCATTATTAGGCTACTCTACGTGTATGTTCGAATAGAGACTAGTGAGGGTTCATGTGGCTTGGAAAGAGATGCGCAGGAGCTGTAGGATAGGGTAAACTACCCGAGACATAAATATCCGTGGCTTATGGGCAGAGACAAGCTGGGCTCTCGGTGTAGTCGTGAACTAAGAGAGGACAATGAACCTAGAATAATAGACGCCTACTACACGCCCTACCAATCAAGTTGATCGTTTGTAGATCCCAGGGGCCTGGCCTAGCTTTTTCTCTCGTGCACTGAGCCATGATGATGTGTTCGGCCCAAGGCTCGTCTACAGGTGAGTGGCCTAGGCCCATCCCCTAATATCCTCGTTGCATGGCTGAGCCAGAGCGGCCAAGTGAAGCTTTGAGTGAGAAGTTTCGCATTCTGGTCGCTTGGTGGCGGGACGATAAAAGGCCTCCACGACTTCCCCAACTTGAAAGGCCATCTATGTACACGCAACGAGTCCCAACTTTTCGCCGGCTGGAAATGCGCGATAGTAAGGGGATAAGTTACTGCCCAAGCTCACTGATGAGGGGATATACAGCTTGCATAAGTATCCTTGACCATGCGGCAGAGGAGCGCTATGTGAACTATATTGTTTTAGGCCGAGAAATGATAGTAGTGATATTTGATATTATACATGTAAGCGCAACTAGCTCACCAGAACAGCGTCCGAATGGTTGGTAGCGCTAGATGTCCGACTTTTGTGTGCGAGCCAGATGGAGGTGAGTGTGACGAGCTGGCGTATCTGCGCGCATGCCCAATGGAGCACATCTGGCGCGCGCGTCAGGCACGCCGAGGTTGAGGAGGCTCCCGAAGGCCGATTGGCGGCGCCGTCTGCACCTCACCGACCAGTGCTCATCATCATCCGGCCCAGGCCAAGGCGTAAAGTCACGATAGTGCCTCCCTCGTGACTCCCGGCTCAGTGTAATACACGCTCCCTCGCTCAACCCGCACTCTAGAATAAACTGCGAGTTGAATGGCTCGGTTTGATTGTACTTCTTGCGTCAAAGAGCATCCGGCACATTGGACACCTCTCCAGCATCAAACATCAAGCAGCGTGTAGGTGCCGCACTGATCGTGGCTCTCGTCTAAGCTGATGAAATTACCTTGCACGCCTCAAGTCAACTACAATCACTCTATCTATAATGGCATACATATATATCCTTTTAGGATTCCTCCTGCCTACTGCTTCCGGCCCATCTAGACACCAAAGCCCGCACACGAGAGCCGTTGATGCTAAGCCACCGCGAGTGTCACTTTGGCGCGCGAGACACGAGCCTTGCATCTAATCTGACACGACACGGGCAGTTGATCCCGAAAGACTCGATGCTATTAGGATGACCTATGCAGAAGAGCCAGGAATGAACAATTTATTGGTCTCGTGCCTTGCGCTGCGCGTGAATCTTCGATGTTAGCCACCAATACACCAGTCCTACGTCAATAAGTTGACTTGCGCCGACACTTCTCGTAACGACCAGAGTCATATTCTCACACCTCCATCCACCGAAAGCAAGCCTCGTATGTTCCATATTCAAAGTGTTGGTAGCACCATGCCAAATCGTAGCTTCGACACCCACGAGCACCTCAAAGTGGGAAACCCCCAAAAATGTCAGTCTCAGCGCACCCATTCGTTACTTATTTCCCGCCTTGCTCCATTTCCCAGATGCCTATGCTTCCTCAGGTTGTGAAGTCCCATAGGCTAAGGCCCGAGCTTGGTATTTCATGACATGGTCTCCTCTCTACAGGTACGCGTAGCATCGTGATTCGGTAGTGGGAGCTGGCCGGTGATTGATGAGACAAGCTCCCGTCTACAATCGAAACAACTCCCTAAACGGCCATGGAGGTGAGGTAGCTTGTGGTAAAATGGAGTTCGAGGACTCGCGCGAGTAAGGCATGGCCAAGTCAGAAGTCGTCAACTTTTGCTATGCCGGAGTTTGCTTTCGACGTCGATTCGGGCTCGACTCCTCTTACCTCTCCCGCATGTTCAGAGCATGCTGAGCCATCACACCGGCCCGCCAGAAAGATGATGAAATTGTCTTTGCCGCGTGGAATGGCTTGGTTGATTGCTGACTCCGTTCTACAGAAATTGGCCCCAGGGGGGTTGATGGGTTCTCGATAACTACAACATCAACCTCATTCCCAAAACTTTATCTGATGCCCTCGAGTCTAGATCTGAGCCAAGGACATGGTGAAGAAATGGAAGTCGTGAGCGGAGTGCCTTGTGTTTGCCCGCAGTTGACTTTTCTGGGGGGACCTTGCCCATCGGCACATACACCCCTTGCGACTTGATACAAACAATCTGTGCTAGTAACAAAGATAATTTGGCCATTCAGTCTCCTTTACATCGGCTGGCTAGCCTCCCTGGAAGTAGCGTATCGAAGCCCCTAAAACATCAAGGATAGCCACTCTGGCAGTTTCTATGTTATGTGTGATGGAAGTTGTTAGGTCTTGTGCTGGCGGTATTCACGACTACGATTCACCAGGGCATTAATCACTAGGAGTGAAGGGGTAACTATGCGGGTGTTTCCTTGGGAGTAGGCGAATAGTAAATCACGCTATGGAAAGCGTTTCTAGATTATACTGTTAGGTAACTGGGAGCCCGACCTGTGAGCGGCGAAGTATATGTAATTAAATTAAAAGATAACTCAGCAAAAATAACTTGATTCCTATTTCTCCCGGAATTCTAGGACTATATACACTACTCATGATTGACTTGATCTCTAAATATAGACATGCGCTAGGAATAGAATAACCTGCGATTCTAAATACAGAATGCAAGCACTGACCGAAACAAACAAGCCGCGTACGTACGGACAGTCCCTATTTTTGACCCGAGACATTTCCCTGTCCAACTTCTTCGGTAGTTATTCTTAGCCTTCGACATATACTGCTAGATGAATGATACCAAAACTTCTATGATGCTCCTGTGGGAAGTCAAGGCGAGAGTAGTAATGTAACATATATAAGACGCCTTTTCTACCCTATGATCTATACGATTCTGAATACGAAGGTATTGACAGCTTATATTGACAGACTATCAATCATCACAAAGCTTCGTGTCGAAAAGCCCCCGAGAAGCTCTTACCTTAACAACACAAGTTCCACAATGGAGCAGAGTGGTAGAGCCCCAAACCTTTGATATGCTTTCACTTTGTTCAAAATAGCTAACCAAGCCATGTGCTTTGTGATTATTCTTTGTAATGTTTTGTCAAAAAAAGACAGCAATTGGTCCATACGACATTGGTGTAGTCAAATCTGCTTTATTGGAGTTTCTTGTAGTGACTGGAACCTCTATTAGAAAGCATCGGGAGTGATGTCCTAGCTTGTGGCATTCTCCGGGGAGTTCAAGAATAGGCTCGGAGATCCGAGGTCTGCTGTTGGGGTTTCGTCACTTCCAAGAGTTGTGTTACCTACGCCGAGAACGCCGCTAAATAACTCTAGAGTTGTAAGATTGGGGAAAGAAGCTAAATCTCACGGTAGAGAGAGTAATAAAGTTATAATCTCTTTTGTCCAATTAGTTTTACAAAAGATTCTTGATGACAATGTCTTTTAGATTCAGGGAATGAAGCTGGACGAGAGTTAGGAGAAAGTCAATAGACGAATAGAGAGACTCGAGGGTTGTTGATTGACTTGTAACACTTTGCAGTGTCAAGGATGTCTCTTGTGTTGCTAGATTCAGCCATTAGTTTATTAAAACAGGCGCATTTGACCTTTTTTACCACTTTCTGAAATGCTTTTCAGGCGGACCCTGAAGGAAGTTTTGGCTGAGCTAGTTCCCGCTAACTGTTTTTATGTCAGTCGTTCTAATACTACTAAGGTTTGCCTTTATTACATTGAAGGAACTACTTCGCGGCTCCAGAGTACGCACTCCCAAGAAGATTTATTAATCCCTCACATAAGTTATTGAGGC